TAGGGGGTAGGGTCCTAGGGGGCCAGTTAGGATGCGGGGAGGGTCTCAGGAGGGGGCAGTCAGGGGACAAGAGGCAGGGAGACTTAGGTAGGGGGTGGAGTCCTGGGGGGCAGTTAGGGGCAGGGGTCCCAGCAGGGGTCAGTCAGGGGACAAGGAGCGGGGGGAGGGTTGGGGGTTCTGAGGGGGGCGGGATGTGGGAGGGGCAGGGGCAGGGCTAGGGCAGGACGGGGGGCAGGGCTAGGGCGGGGCTCCTCCCGTCCTCTTTTTTGCTTGCTGAAATATGGTAACCCTAAACTAGAAGAAAAGGTAATGTTCCTGCCTCCAAGTTCTTGCTAGCATATAAGTGACATGATTTCTAACTTTATGGGAAACAAAAATACATTTTCCTTCCCACTGTGGCCCAAATTCTGTTCCCAGAAGTGGGCCCTGGTGACTTCAGTGAGATTCAGTGATTACAATGAACAAGATTTCTCCTTGTGGAGCTCATCCTGAATCCTTCACGCCTGTCTCCCCTTTCATTTTCTAATGGAGTGACTCCAGAGTTTTACCAGTGTAAACAAGAGTATATCAACTGAAAAATCAGGAGCATTGAAAATCTTTGCCCAAACCTCTCAGGTTATATTTTAGGCTCCAGTCCTGCAAAGACTTACAAAAATTACCAGGGACTACTTGTAGTTCATAAAGTTAAGCACATGCACAAGTTTTCACAAGAACAGGCCTCTTAGAGGATCAGATGGGATTTTCAAAAACACTCAGCATTGCTCTGCCTCTATTCCCACTGAAGATTTAATACTAAACACTATTAGAAATCCCAGACTTAAACAGCCAGTGTTTATTTGTAATTTTAAAGCTACACGCTCATCGGACCCGTTAAGGGGCCTGTTCCTCCTCTCTTTAGCACCAACTTTATTCCAGTGTTACTTCACTGAAGTTACTAAAGTTACACTAGTGTAAATCCATGATAAATGAGAGGTGAATTGGGCCCTTTAAATCTTGATGTGACAGGAACTCAGAATTGTACCTGAAATTTTGATTTAAAACAAAATTAAAGTTATATGTGCATGTTCTTGAATCTTTTGTCCCCTATTTCCTGGATAACAAAATCTGCCTTCAAAATGCTTTCATTTTTTGATTGCCTTTTAAGGCAAATTGTGGTGTCCAGCCATAATCTGTGTGACACACTGGACAGCAGTGTGTGTGTGTGTGTGTAGAATAACATAGAAATGTTACAAAACTGATAATGCTACTTTTATTATGTGATAACTTTGCTGGAAGCGTTGACAGAAATACAGGAAAAAAGCATTGTGTTTGCAGGCTAGCACAGTAAATCTCAGGTAGCTATAACATGCTACATTGGTTCACAAGCACATGTTTTTGGACTTTGAATCACACCACTACTTAGTCTTTAGATTTTTTTTTCATTTAAGAGCCTGAACCCTAACAGAGGCAAAATTCCCCTTGAGAGACTCCCATTGACTTCAGTGGGAGATGGGTCAGGACCATAGTGCAATAGATTTTCCCCCCTCCCCTCTCCCAGCTTTACAAACATATAAAAAGAAGTCAGACCCTGCCTTGAACTGCTTACAGACTCCACCCCGTTCAACACAGAATAGCTTAATGAAGTAAATCACTGAATACAGAGCTGGGTTGAAGATGGCATACCATTTTTGTGAAGGATTTTTGAGATTTTTTTGAAATTTGGCTTTGTCCCAAATCAGATTGAAAACCAAACATTTCGAAATTCTCAAGGAAGGAAAAATTCTGGAAACAAAACATTTTGTTTCAACTTCAACTTTTTTGTTTTGCATTATATGTCATTAATACAAAGTATTTAACGATTCAAAACAGTCATTTCAAAACACAAATTCCAAATAGTTTCTTCTCAAACTGTCAGAATGGGACATGTCAACATAGTTAGCATTTTTCCTGGTTTTTCTTCCATCACAACATTTGGGGGAAATCAACCCAATTTGACAGAACACTTAAATTTCAGCAGAACTGCACATTGTCGGAATGTGATTCTGTCAAAGTTTCTCTCACCAGCTGTAGCTGAATACATTCATTGCTTTCACTGCTTTCAACGGGGTGCTGGTGGGTGAATGGCAGGTTTAGATCATTTGGAATTCCAGTCAATGATGTATGCCTAAAGCATTACTTGGGGGGCATATTGCAATTCTTTAGGTGGTTTTCAAGACTCTGCATCTCTATCTACTTCCCCTTTTGCTTCCTTTTCTTTTCCCACTCTCTGCCCTGCGTTTTTTCATCACATCAGCCCTTTTGTCAGGAACAACCTTCCTCCCCCATACACCTAGCAGCCTCCATTCTCCCACTTTAAATTCCTCCTCAAAACCTGCACGTTTGTTCTAGCCTAATTCTTCCCCAATCCCCAGTCTCACATACCAAATGCCAATAGACCTAACAATCAGTTTAAAAAAACAACAACAAAAAAAACAGCTAAACTTGCTGTCTCAACAGTGTTTTCCACTCTCCTTTGCTTTTATCTCCCTACTATGCTCTCTCACTTTAGTTGATATCTTTACTCATTCTGTTCTGTCTTTATTCAATTAAGCTTTTTGTGGCACTTTTGTTATAAGTCAATGGCAGGGTGGTAACCATCCTGATCTTACTCATATATATGTTATAGCTATGCCAACATTTCCTCCTAAGCCTACTCTGTGTTTTCACCTCTATACTTGTTGAATGAATTGTATTATAAAATCACTGGTCTTTGTAATGTTGAGTTTTGGTGTACTTTGTACTAGTGAAATGCAACATTTTGGGTAACTACTCTCTTAACACTACTCTACCAAAAATACCTGCTCCTCTTAGATGAAAATCCTGATTATTTTTCAAACAAACAAACAAACAAACAAACCAGCAAACAAACCCCCCTGATAAATAGACTGATGACAGTGAATGATCTGTTAAATCATTTCCTTTGTTGTTTTCTTTCCCTCCTCCCCCCTTCCTCCCCAGCAATTACAGTGCGTTGTTAGGAGTGTGGATCTATGGCTTTTTTGTTGTGATCTTGCTGGTACTGGACCTTTTATATTACTCATCAATGAACTACGATATTTGCAAGTTTTACCTGGCAAGGTGGGGAATCCAGGGAAAGTGGATGACACAGGCACAGAGCCGATGGATTAACCCTGCTCAGAATCCAAGCCAAGTACAGACTCAGCCTCAGTCTCAGCCTCAGCCTCAAATGTCACAGGCAGTACATACTTTGAAAGGAGATGCTTTAAACCCACCATTGATGTCTTTTCAGAGTTCATCAGCCTGGTAAGTTAAGATACTTTTGCACCATATTCTTTTGTGGTATAAACAGTCAGCTGTCTTTTTGGAACATCATTATCAATTATGCGCCAGACCCTCAGCTGGTATATATTGGCATAGCTCCATTGAAGTTATCAGCAGAGGATCCGAACCATATAAATTTTACAGTATGAACTGCATTATAGAACCACCCCTCAGAAGAAATGCATCAGCTTCATAGAAAATTATGATAAAAATATGATGGTCTCTAGAGAAATGTGTGCTGGAGGTAAGTAAATTTACAGTACTGTGTGAATATCAATAGGTTTGGAAGGATTAGATTTTTATCGGTAAATGTCATTAAATGTCAATTTCACTGTACACACACAAACCAACAAAAATATATTTCCACTGATAATCGAAATATACAGATCAGCCAAGTAAGAAAAATGCTGCTTGAGAACTTAGTTTGATTTAAGAATATTTACTTTGTATAGTTTGACATGTGATGTTGACAATTTGTGTTTTAACAGTGATAAAACTTTAACTTTTTGAATCTCAATATCTACTGTCATTAAATAATTATTGTCTGATACCCTACATTGTCTGACCTTCCCATAATTTCTGCATACTGTTAAAATTTAAATCAATAAAAATAAAAAACCTTAAAAATAAACATTTATATTATCTATCAACATTCTAAAAAAAATAATGAATTCTGCCAAACTAAATATAAACAAGGTTACAATCTTTGCTTCGACAGTGTCCACTGAAGAGTTAATTATTAATCTAGCATGCAAATAAAATTCTAAATGTACCAAAGGTTTTGCCATGTATAGCAATTAATCTGTTTTCAGTTTAAAAAACAACACATTAACTCCAAGTTCAATGTAAACACTAAGAAGTGGAAAACAGTTTTAATTAGAGATGTGAGAAATCCATACTCTCCACTGAGACACAGAAACAATGTGAAAACTAGCTTAATGTCTTATCTGCTTAGCCACAGAAATATAGCTGTATGTTACAGTGGGGAGAAAATGATTGTACGGATTTAAAAAGGAAAAGTGATAGCCTAGGGGTTTTTTTATTATTATTATTTCTGCTATGTTGTATACATGTATATCAAAATGTGTTTTAATACCAACAGTTCTATAGCACTTAATGTTTTTAAATTATCTATTATTTGTATGGTGTCATGGGCAGATAGGGTACTCTACAGAAATATAAGAAGGAAGGGCCCCAACTCAAAGAGTTTATAATCTAAAAGGATAGCACAGTGAATGTAGACAACATTCTGACAGTGGTAGTGGAGGGGAGTTACAAAAGTTAACTATCAAGGGTTGCAAAAATTAATGATCATTTTGGGGTTTGTTTTGCTTCCTGTGAAGAGTTCATGGTCAGGCATTGGAACAGGGTTGGTGCGAACAGTTAACTGAAAGACATGTGTAGAGCTGGTCGAGAATTTTCTGCTGGAAAATGCCCTTATCACAAAAAAAATCAGAACTTTTAAGGCTGGGAGCCAGGGTAGTTAGGCTTCAGCAGCCTGCCTCAAAGGTTCTTTGTAGTGTGTTGGTCCCAGGATATGAGAGAGACAAGGTGGGGGAGATAAAAATTGTGGGGGAAATTGGTGGAAGAGACAAGCTTTCATGCTTCACAGAGTCAGGTCTGGAAATGGCAACCAGAGAGTCACAGCTGAATACAGGATGGAACAGATTGTTAAGCATAAGGGGTTAACACATATTGCAAGAAACCCCTTGAAATGAAGTGGGCAATTAACACCACTAGTCATAGGACAAAGGAGGAGGAGTAGGTTACAAATTGTTGTAAAGAGCCAAAAAACCAGTGTCTCTGTTGAAACCAGGATTTTTAGTATCTAGCAGAGTTATGAAATAAGTTCCTAAGGGTCATCTTTTGAAGGTACACCTCTACCTCGATATAACGCTGTCCTTGGGAGCCAAAAAATCTTACCGCGTTATATTGAACTTGTTTTGATTCGCTGGAGTGCGCACCCCCTCCCCCCCCCGGGAGCGGTGCTTTACTGCATTATATCTGAATTCGTGTTATATCGGGATAGAGGTATATTATTCACGTTTCCTTTGAGGGTGAGGACTGATCAGATATAGAGTGATTGCTTTGTGAAAAAGTGTTCACCCACAGGTGACAGGGCATTTTTGTCTTTTATCATTTTTCTGCATAGGTTCATTCATGAGTACAGCGATTGTTTGGTTTCACCCACATAGTTGTTGTTGGGGCATTTGATGCACTGGATGAGGTACAACACATGTTATGATGGGGATATATAGGAAACATGGATCTTGAAAGGTGTATTGTAGGGGTGAGGATATTGATTATTGTAACAATGGAGATATACCTGCAGGCTTTGCATCTGTTGTTCTGGCAGATGCTTTGAGCTGGTGTATGGTGGTCTTTGGGGAGCTTGCTTCTGATGGTAAGCTTCGCGTGGTAGGGAGGCTGTTTGATGGCCAGAAGATGGGGGCTGGGGAAAGATTTCTTTCAAAATGTGGTCCCCATCAAGAATGGGCTGCATTTGTTTGGTGATACCCTTATAGGTTCGAGTGAGGGTTGGTAGGTGACAACTAGGGGTACAACTACATTTGCAAGTGGACCCAGTTACTTGTCAGTATACTGCTAGAACCTGCCTGTACCCACACTGAGTGTCCACCTATCCTGTGCTGGGCAGAGGTATATGCCATGTCTTCATCCACACTCCCTTTCAGCGTGTGTCATTAGTGCTAACATGTCAGGGCAGTGTCCTAGGGTTGCCACTCATCTGGGTTTACCTGAACAGTCTGGTTTTTGGCTTCTGTGTCTGGGTGCCATTTGACAAGCCCCGATGTCCAGTTTTAAGTGAAATGCATAAGCAACGCCAACAACCTTACTGTTTCAATATGTTGTTTAGTACTGAAATAAACATTGTATGTTTCTGTGTTATTTTACATTACATATGTGAAAATATGCACTGTTCATTCATTGAACTTCAAATGTCACGTAGCTAAGCCTAGCACTTTCTGGTGTCTTGTTTTGACATATATATTACTCTTGGGGGCATTCTGCACCAAAAAATAAAAATTCTGCAACATTTGTCAAAATAACAAACACCAGTTTCAATTATTTTGGTAATTTATTTCAAAATACCTGTCAGTAAGTATGTGTATAACAATGCAGACACACAAAAATTCCCCCAGAAATAGAGAGTTAAAGAAACCCCTATGACAACCCAGTACCTGTTTCTCTGCCTCCCCCCAGTCCAGCACAACCCCTCCCCCCCCAGAGCCCAGCCACAGGGTGCCCCCTTGCCCAGATACCCACACCCCATCACTCCCCAGAGCCCAGTCATGCCCCCCCTCCCACCCACTTGTTTTCAGAAACCCATACCAGTGCAGAAGCAGGTGGCTATTGCCCTTTGGAAGCTGGCAACTCCTGACCGTACCAGTCAGTCGCCAACCAGTTCAGGGCTGAGAAGTCAACTGTGGGAATGGTGGTTGCACAGGTTGGCCAGGCTATCAGTACTCTGACCTACCTCTGGATAGTTGTCATAACACAACTCCCTGAAATTATAGTAAGATTTCAGAGGATGGGTTTTCCCTTTGACAGAACACATGTACCTATACTTTGCCTACTGAAAGGGGCCAGTGAATAAGTAAACTGTGAAGTTTAGTATTCACTGTTCTTCAAGGCTTAGTGGACCATAAGCAGTCAGTTAATAAACACGAATGCAGAATACGTGGGAAAGGTCCATGACACCAGGGTGTTCAGAGCTGTACTCCAGGACAAAACGGAGGACTTTATTCCCCGGAAATGACATGACTATATATGATGTTTCTGTGGTGGGGCCCATTCGGTAATCTGCCACTGCCCCTCCCCCCACCGGGGCAGGAGGTTTGGGGAGCCTTAGCCTCCCCCAGCCTCCATTACATGCCGCCCATGCTCGGGATGCCAGTGTGGCCAAAGCACTTTGGCTTATTGTAACATGCGGTGCTTTGCATAACGTAGATGAGGCTAAAGGGAAATACTTCCACAGCAAGTGGGCACAGTACAGAACTGCTGTCCAACGCCTATAGTAGCAACCTGACCCCACCCATGAGCACACAGCTTGTGGTTCCCAGCAGGCCAGGGAAATTTGTGATGCTGTGTGCTCATACATAGTGAAACAATGGGGAGCCAGAAGATGAGTTGGGCGTGTGATGCTAAGGTGCTGCTCAAAGAGCACACTAGAGCATGGCCACATATTTCAGTCACGAGATGCCTCAGTGGGTTTCAATCCCCTGCAATTAATGTACTAATCAAAAGCAGACAATTCGGGGAGGACCCTCCAGGTCAGTATCTTTGGCCATGGCTTTGTGCAGTGGTGTAGTTTTCCAGCAATTATTCCTTGGGATGGCCCATGAAGAGGTTGGCATATTGGGCAGCCATCCTAATTCCTGTGGTTTAGAGAAAGTGTTTAAATGTAAAGTTGTTATGGGTGAGGATGTGTTTATCTGAGTGCTGTCAGTGTCAGACTGCAATGCCTTCATGGTGAGGGATGTTGGTGTATAGGGAGAGGACATCCTTGGTGGAAAGGATGGTATTTTGAGGCAGATTTTAATGTTGAAGAGTTTCTGGAGGAAGCAGATTGTGTTCTGAGTGGTTTGAGAATGGTCTCTATGATATTCCCTCAGTAGTTCTGTTGCCATAAATGATGGGCCTGGGGTCCTTTGTTTGTGTATCTTGGGAAACATGTAGAAGTCCCTGGGGTGGGTTTGTGCGGGGTGAAAGCCAGCAAACTGGAAAATTCCATTTCAGTTCTCTCAAAACAGAATGTTTCTGGAAATCCCTTCCAAATAAATAAATTGAGCATTTTTGAATTTTCATCCCGATTAGGGACAACTTCATATTTTTGAAAACATGGTCCCAAATTGGGATGAAAAGTCAAAAATGCTAATTTTTTGGGAGGGGGAAGAGACTTCTTTTCCAGCCAGCTCTAGAAACAAGTGTTGGGGGGGAGGAGTGATATTGATACAATAGCA